TTTGCTTTCATTAATCTCTTATTTATGCTTTTCATTTCATTTCATTTACTTAATTAACTTATATCTTATTTATGTTCTTATCTTCTTATATCTTATTTATGTTCTTTTCTTATTTACTTATATTTCTCTTCTTTATTATGTCTAGTTAAGTTTATTATGTCAAGGTGAAAATATTACACTAATAGTATAATAATAAGTATAGTGTAAACTTAACATGGATTTTAATGCTTAATATTAACATGTTTTGTATTTGTTATCTTATTCACTTTTAATACTTTGTTTGTTAAATGGTTAATCTAGATTTATATTGTATAACACTTGATACAACAGATATTTAGCATTTTCATAACCCAATCGTATGGTATAACCGATACTTGTGCTATAATGGGAACTTGATTTGTTGTTAACATAAGTTTTAATCATGAATACATGACAACATTTACAAGTATTAGCATTATTCGAATAAGATAACTAATGCAATCATGTGAATAATTTATAATCTGATTGAATCCTTTTTTATATGTGGTTTCTAATTGAGTAATAAAAAGAGTTTATATTATACTTATTTGAAATATCATTAGTGGATCCTCTAATCTTGATATTTGCTTTTATCATTGTTTAATTCTCACATTAATTTTATATTTTAAAGTCCTCTTTAACTTCTTTTTTTTATTATAGTTTTTGTTATTATTGTTGTTGTTGTTATATAATTAACCTCCCTATAGTTCGGACCCTGATCTTTCCATGTTATTTGTTACTTCAACACTCCTACACTTAGAAGAAGACATCAACCTTTTAGTCTTGTCAAGTTTTTGACACCGTTGCCGGAGAGGTAAATTCCTATATAAATTATAATATTTTTTTTTCACTTTTCATGTATCCAACTTTTATTTCTTTTGTCTTGTTTTCTTCTTCATTTTATTCTCTTCTTCGTTTTATTCTTTTCCTACATATGTACATTAAATGGTAGACTTTATAAAATATCTTCATCATTTTTAAAAAATATGGTAAAAAAAATAATCAATCGCTTCATAATGAGAATAATCGTGTTAAAACACTTAAAGACTACATGAATCCTATAATAACAAGTGCATTATCATATGTAGTTTTCCCTCATGATGCACCTTATTTTAATTTTAAGTCAGGCATTATTCATGTAGTTTTCTCTCATGATGCATCTTATTTTAATTTTAAGTCAGGCATTATTCAACTTTTGCCTTCTTTTCATAGCTTAAATTTAAAGAATTCATATTTGCATTTAAGAGAATTTGAGGAGGTATGTAACACTTATAATGACTCAAATTATAGCATGAACACAATTAGATTAAAGCTTTTTTTCTTTTTTAAAAAAAAGATAAAGCTAAAACTTGGCTATAAAATAAAAAAAAAAGATAAAACTAAAACTTGGCTATAAAATTTGAGATTAGGATCCATTCGTGCTTGAGATGAAATGCAACAACAATTTTTAAAGAAGTTTTTTCCATACAGAACAACCTTTTTCAAAAGAAAAATCACCACTTTTACTCAAAAACTAGAAGAAACATTTTACCAATGTTGGGATAAATATCAAGACTTGCTTAATACTTACCCTCATAATGGTTTTGAAACATGGAGATTGGTTTCGTGTTTTTATGAAGAATTAACTCCTAAAGATAAAAAAAATAGTGGAATTGATGTGTAATGGAACTTGAAAAATAGTGGAATTGATATGTAATGAAACTTGTCAAGATAAAGATTCTAATGAAGCAATGAAGTACCTAAACTTAATAGCTGAAAATTCTAATGAAGTAATGAAGTACCTAAACTTAATAGCTGAAAATGCTTAAAATTAGGATATTACAGGCACTTATGAGGCACCAAGTAAAACTCAACCTCATACATCTAGTAGAGCTATGTAAAATATTAGGAAAGATCATGACCTTTAAGCCAAGTTCGCATCTTTAACTAAAAAAGTTGAGTCACTAGAATTGAAAAAGAATAGTCAATTAAAATATGTTCAAGAGATTGTGTGTCAAATCTGTGAAACCAATAAATACTTAACCAATGACTGTCCAACTTTATCTTTTTTTAAGGAATGACTCCATGAATAAATTCATATTTTAAACAATTTTTAAAGACCTAATCATAACCTATACTTGCAAATATATAATCTTGGTCGGAGAAATTACCTAAATTTTAGTTAAAAAAATAATAACAATAATACATAAATTTCACAACTACTATTTAAAATATACTATAATTTTTAAAAATTTTATAAATGTATATTTTTTTATGCTTCATCTCTTAGACGTAACAAGGTAAAATTATATAGATGATGATGCCGACTATGAAGTTACTCTAATGTTTTGTAGATTGAAAACAACGCATCCGATCAATAAAAAGAAAACCGAAACTGGGGCTTGCATACATAGAATCTGCGAATGGCACCTCCCACCATGTTATCTCATTAAATGTTAATGATTTGCTTCCAAAAAAAGCAAAGATATTCAGACCCTAATTAATTATTTGTACGACTACCAAATCCAAACCTTCCAAAACCCCTGGGCACGATTAAGACAGTCTAGGCAAAAGGGAAGATGAATGTTTTGCTAGATGCCCACAAAATCCTTCACGAGGGCTTCGAAGTATGAATAGAGAAAAGCCAATTGATCTCTCAGGTCTAAGTTTTCCTTTCCGTCTCCACAAGTATAAACAAAAAGGAGAAGAGAAATCAATGAAGTCTCCTTATTTTCTTACGGTTTCTCTTTGCTCGCTAACGCTGCTCGTCTTCCCTCTTCTTTCTAATGCTTCTGTAGAAACGTATGTATTGATGAATCTTGCTTTCATATGGAATAGAACTAACTGCATGTGTGGTGGCTATTTGTTGACTGATTTTCGGTGATAATTAGATCGAAAACAGGTGCATTTACAAAGGCCTTTGATCCGACTCGAGCCGCTCAACTCTCTTGGCAACCCAGGTACATTTTTCTTCTTTTCTACTGCATATATATAGTAGTAGGTTATGTGCTTAACTGTTTTGCGTTTGAAACCTGATAAAGGGCCTTCGTTTACAAGGGATTCTTATCAGACGAGGAGTGTGATCATCTTATTGATCTGGTTTGTTAGCATCGACTTGATTTCATATGGAGAAATAGTATTATGATTTTAAATATGTGTGCTTTACTTATAATTGTCTGGCCTGCCCTTTCTTTATATATATAGGCCAAGGGTAAGCTTGTGAAATCAATGGTGGCTAATGATGAAACTGGAGAGAGCATGGAAAGCCAGGAGAGAACCAGTAGCGGCATGTTTATTTTCAAAACTGAGGTGAGAACGCAAATTGCTGCTCTGGCTATCTATCTATCGTCCATTGATTTTAGTTTCAGACCTTCAACTGTATGGATTGTGTTTTCAACTCTTCAGGATGAGATTGTTAATGGTATTGAGGCCAGGATTGCTACCTTGACTTTCCTCCCGGAAGGTACGTATACAGAACTAGTTTTTACTAATCTTTTATAAATAGAAAATACAAAACCAGACACACCCATATATAAATAACATAGTAAAACATTTGTTTAAGGTATGACAGTATATGTAAACTCAATACACGTGATGGTTTGGAGTTTATATTATGTTTAAGGTTGTTTATGCAAGAGGAAATTAAATCACTTTAGTATTAATTATATATAATTAGAAAATGGGGAGCCGATTCAGATACTACGCTACGAGCATGGCCAGAAATACGAAGCACACATTGATTATTTCGTGGACAAGGCTAATCAAGAAGAGGGTGGCCATCGGGCCGCCACCGTACTTATGTACTTGTCTGATGTTAAGAAAGGGGGAGAAACCGTATTTCCCACTTCAGAGGTGTGTCCACATAAAATATAACGACGGCTGCTACAACTGACTGCTTTATTTCCTTGTTTTTCTTCTATTTTAATTAGTTTGGTGGGTCTCAGGCTAACATATTATATCATATTCTCAAGCGCTGAATTCATGTGTTGTGCAGCCAAAAGGGCCTCAAGCAAAGGATGATAGCTGGTCTGATTGTGCTAAAAAGGGTTATGCAGGTTTGTGTTAATAAATAATTGATCTTCACTGAATATGTAGAAAAGCTAGCCTTATATGCACTAGCTCTACTTGCAGTCAAACCCAACAAGGGCGATGCCTTGCTGTTCTTCAGTCTCCATCCTGACGCGACTCCTGACCCTGGTAGCTTGCACGCGAGCTGCCCTGTTATTGAGGGGGAGAAGTGGTCTGCGACCAAGTGGATCCATGTCAGGTCCTTCAGCGAACCCGTGAAGCGAACAAAAATGGGTAAATTGTACTGATGAGTGTGAAAAATATGGCGGGCTCTCACATTTATAATAATGGTCACTGTAAGAGTTGTAAGAAATGCTAACCGTAGGAAGTCTTTTTTTTCCCAATATCCCCTTGTTCTTTAAAAAGGATTCATATTTTAGGGAAATTTCATTGCTACAAGCAACTCCTATACAATTTTTTCTGATACAAAATAGTTTCAGCATCATCACCTCATACATAATTTTATGTATCAATTTGATGTTAATTATTTACTTAAACCTCACGTATGGATCAATGCACATAGAAACATGACCCCTTTCATTCAATGAGGTCAGCGAAAGAAATATGGTTCGCTGGAGTGAAAAATTAATCTGCCTGAGAACTCTACTTTAGAGTTTGTTTGTTTATCTATTTTAAAAAAGCTTTTGAAAAAAAATTTAAAATTTTTTTATTTATTTTTATTTTGAAATTATTTTGATGCGCAGTATCAAAAATAATTTTTTAAAAATAAAAAAATACTTTTTAATATATTTCCAAAAAAAAAACAACAGCAACCACCCCCACCCCCAAATTTCAAACCGGGCTGAGCCAGGTGCAGCAAAGTTGCTGCAACCATTGATGCAGATTCGTCTTTGGATTCATTTTTGGTAGAGAAAATTTAGTACTGAAAAAGGTTCCATGCCATCGGGAAGAGCATAGAAGTTGCTATTGGTATGTGAAAAAGACTAAACAATCCACCTATCAGAAAATCAATAAACAATCCCAAGTGACTTTAAACTGAACAATAATTTGATATCATGTTACTTGTCAATGACGCTAAAACTATGAGGGTGAACGTTCATTTACCTGAAAACATTGCAAACCAGCTTCACATGGGCGGAAGAGAGATCAGAATAGCCATGGCGAAAAGTTTAAATATACTAGCAACATGATCCCAGAAAAGAACAAGTGTCCGCCTAACAAGAAAGGATAGGGGAAAAAAACCTTTTACTTGGAGGCGCCAGCCTTTTGCTTCGCCTTCTCAATAAGGGGCTTCAGCTGCTTCTTTTCAGCAAGAATCTTGAGGAAGTTGAACAAAAATGGAATATAATTGTGCTTCCTGCGGATATTTTCTGTTCTCCACTTCTTGAATTTGTCCTCCTCCATCAAAATCTTTTCTGTAACACTCTCAATCCCACCGTTCACTTCAGAGAGGGATTTGTTCAGAGCTTCATAGTTGCTATTGTCAATCAGTCTTTCTGCCTGGAAGGCAGCAAGCTGCTGCAAAATTCGCTCCCTCCTCTTTTGGAGATCCTTGAGTTCAGCAGTGTACATTTCTTTCCTGTTTTTGATTATTGCCAAGAGATTAAATCTTATCTCACTATTGGAATGCCTTTCAATGCGTTCCTGGATCACTGGTTGCACCATACGCAGCCAATCCAGATCACCATGCCCTCCTGTGCACTGACCAAGGCTGATGGGTCCCTCTTTCAATCCATCAAGTTCATACAACACTCCATCAACAGGCAGGTAACTTATAAAATGGTACACATCATCTTCTTGGCTGGCAGCCTTCTGCTCCTCAGGAATAAAAGGCTCAGGTCTTGCAAAACTGTTATGAGCTACACGTATAGCTTCACAGTTATTAATAGCCAAACCTTTGAGCTCAGGTGGAAAATTCTTGGTGAATTCTTTTAACTTTGATAATTCAGGACCAATGTCGATATCTGGACAGTTCATGAGGATAGACAAAATTGCTTGACTTGCACAAGCATTGTTGATAACCTACAAGAGCGGGAAAACCTTAAGAAAATAAATTGGAGCTTACAATCCTCCATTGATTGTGGATCTCATCTAAACATACCTGACGGGCAAAAAAGAGGTTAGGATTTGGATCCGTAATTACAACACGCTCATCCTTTTCTTCCGGGCGCCATTTGAAAAGAAAAATCAAACCGTATACAGGTCTGGAAAAGAGTGAAAAAAAAAAAGAGTCACAGGTTAACATACACAAAACAGCAACCGAGCATGCAAACTAAAATCATTTATGCCAATGGAATGAGACACAAACCTCAGGCTGTCAAGAGAATCAAGGTCCAATGAATATAATTCTTCAACCTGTTAAAAACACATCAAGATATCAGATCAGGATGAATGGAGGTTATGTGATGGACCCGTTGAACAATTCATGGACTCTGCATTTCCAACCAGCAAGTAGAGCAATTATGCCTTTAGTAATAGAAACATGTAGTACTTTTGGTTCTTGTTTCTTGGCTAATTCTATTCCCTTAGGAAGGTCCCATTTGGTAACTGAAAATAGGATACCTTGGTAACAGCCAGAATTAATCGTTTAAATTAGCGACAACAAATGTAGAGTATCTGTTGTGCCATTCAGTTAACTCAACGAAATAGGTATCAGGAATGAAAAGTAACCAAAATGGGAATCGCAAAACCAGAATGACATTAAATTCATAGCATTGGATTGGATATAACAGTTAGGAAACAGAATGGAACCTCGAAATGCCAATACCAAGGAAAAAAAAGCAGTGAACTTTATAGTGCTCCACAGAAACTGTAAACTTATGACAGAGCACCAAGACCTTTTACTGGTGCTTCTTGGCAGTCATGGGTGCGGTTGAGGTGGTGGTTGTAGGGGTGATGGTGATGAGTCCTGGTGGTAGGGATGCTAATAATGATGGTAGCAGTAGTCTTAGTAGTAATGGTGATGGTAATAAAAGCAGAGCTTCTTTTTTTTTAATAGGAGTGCATTTAAAACTTATTCCCTAAACAAGGTACTTGCACTCATTTCCCACAAAACAATCTTCTGCATAAGCACCAAACTAATGAAGTTACTAATTTAATGCCACATAAGCATATATCAAAAGGAAAAATTCAAAGCTATATGCACAAAAATAAGAGCTAATATGGATTAAGCACTGGACATGAAAAATGTTGTTCCGTCATTGATTTTTAAAACCATAATAGCATAATTCTCAAGAGAAAATAAGATTACTCAGTGGCAGAATTTTTAAAGAAAATCATACACAAATTAGCTTGCCAATACAACTCATCATTGAATGTGCAAACAGGGAATAATTTAAGTTGCTTGTCTGCTCCAACTAATCCTTCTTCAGCTACATCAGGAACCCCATGAAAAGATTCTCTATCCCCTTATCTTTGAATTCTACCTGTCGACTTAAAGCAGAACCTTGTCTTTCAAAATGCTTTCCTTTTTAAGTAATCAATAGATGCATGCTGATTAGAAGAGCAGGATAATTGACATGCTTGCATAGCATGATATCCTATGATTGTGTGGCAGGAGTACCTTATTTTGGTAAGCAATTTAGAAACAAGTATTTTTAAGAGAACCCCGATGGGGAAATAAAAAACCAAATGATGATCGTGTTTTGGTGGTGGGTGGTTGTTTTAGTGATAGCTAAAGTGGTTACTATGGCAGTGGTAGCTATAATAGATGGCAGTGGTGGTAGTGATGGTCATATGAAAAGGTCATATATGGTTTTTTATTAGCATTGATAATTAAATTTGCAATGTTATCTCATAGTGCAATAATATCTCATACTTTAACCAAGACAGAAAAAACAAAACAAAACAAAGAAAAGAAAAGAAAAACCATTACCTAAGCATTAGCATCTGATTCCAATTCCATTTTTTCCTGTTTCCTTTCCCATTCATTTTTTTTTAACTGAATGCCTTAAAAATGAGAGACAAAGAAGATACAAGTACTAAAAAGTAGAGTGAAAACTAAAGGTAGCAGCTTCCCTGAATTACATCTAAAAATTTGAAAGATGGAAAAAAAATGGAGCATAGCACTTGCATGTCCAGAGAATTAAAACTACTGGATGGCACGAGCATGGAGACAAACTTCACATAACAAGAAAAGCAATGAAAAAATGGCATAAGAAATTTAATAGGTTACCTGTACACCTTTCACTTGCATCTGTTGTATAAGTTCAGTGAACACACCTGGATTACAAACCAAGAATCTTAGCAACGAGGTTTCCATTTAAAAAGTACAGCACAGTACAGATACAGTGTATATACACGCGTGGGAACTGCAAACTACTCCTTCCTTGACAATTAACAATACACAAGCTAAAATTGCCAACCATATAGTTAACTAAATTGCAAAAAGCGCAAGAAATGTTGTACAGGCAACATGTAAATCTGAAGACAGAAAATTAATACAATTTTAATTCTTTTTATTAGTTCGTGAGCAACAGAAATCTATGAAAAATATACCAGAATAGAGAAAACCCTCAAACTGACACAGAAGCAACTCCTCTAACGTATTTCGAAAGACTAATCCAAAGGTTCAAGCAACCACTTGATGCAAAGATTTTAAATAAACCCAAAATACTATCACAAAAACCTAGCAAGATGATGATGATGATGATGAGAATAAGTAGAAAGCAATCAAATTTATTACCTGGGTCAGACTCGATAGTGCACCAAGACATGATAAATTAGCCGCAGTAATAATAACTGCAACCAAACAGAAAATGGAGTTCTTTATAATCACAATTTAATTTGAAAGCGAAATTGATTCTCTATTGAGTATTGAATTAATCAGTTTTATATTCCTAGAAACAACAAACCCTAACCCTAATTGCTATTGCTCCCTCTTTCTCGCCTAACCAGGGATAATTCTATCGCTTTGTAAAATCAAAAGCTGTAGCTACTAATTTCTCAGATTACTAAGAGGAAAAGATGATGAAGAAGAAATTAGCTCCCGATAGTTTAGCAAGTAATAGAGTTTTAGGGTTACCAGTGGAGATCGCAGTGACACAGATGCTTCCTGCTCCAGTTTCACTCTATTTCTCAGTGAAAAGTTTGCTTCTATTTATATTTACTTAAAATAATATTATTAAATAAAAAACTTTTAATTGAATATTGAATATGAAAAAAAAAATATTATCATTATTATCAATAACGGAGAGGAATAAAATATTTATTTTATTATTTTTTGTTATAAATTTTTTATATAATTTTATCAAATTAATTACAATCTTGTTAAAATTATTGAGACTTTTTTTGTTTTTTTTTTTGTTATTTTGCTTTTTAGATCAAGGTGAGTTTTTATTTTTAAAACCATGCTTCTAATAAATAAATAAATAAAATTTTATGTCAAAGAAATACAGGTATTAAAAAAATAGACTAAAAATATATTTTTTACTTGAGAATTTAAAGCATTGAATTCTTATAAATATTTATTTTAATATTGCAGCATTATGGGAGCAAAAACTAGTTAATATCTAAAAATATTGAGGTATCAATAAAGAAATAGTTTATTAATAATTTATTTGGTTAGTATTTTAAAAGAAATAAATATAAAAAAGATAAAAATATATTTGGTTGAGAAAATAAAGATATAAAATATATATTTTTAAAATAATTTTTTATATTTTTAAAACAAAAAAATATAAAGAAACAAGTTCATATCTCTTTTATCCCAATAAAATGCCCAAATGCTACTTAAAAATTTTCTTTCATTAATTTACAATATGTGAATATTTGAATGTGACTATTTATGAAGGTTAATATTCAAACTTTGACCTTTTTATATCACAGCTTGAACTTAAGTACATTAAGGTAGTATTTTGAAATGCAGCCCAAAATGATGTTTAGCAAAATTTTAATTTTTTTGTTTAAAATTATTTTTTTAATTGTTTAGATATGTTAATGTCAAAATAATATTTTAAAAAAATTATTATTTCAATATATTTTTATAGGATAAAAAATTTTAAAAAGTAAATGTTATTACAATACCAAATATCACTTATATTTTTCATTGCCTTGTTGGATTATACAATTATATATATATATATATATATATATATATATATATATAATTGTATAATATTAATAATTTATTATATTAAAAAAATATTATTAGTTATCGTTTGGTATTATAATGTGGTTTAGGTAATTTTTAAAATATTTTTTATTTAAAAATATTAAATTAATATTTTTTAGAAATATTAAATATTTTAATATAATCATATTAAAATAAAAAATAATTAAAAAATCACAAATAAAAGTACTTTCTTAAATTTTATGGGTTTAAAATTATTACAATTATGATGAATATAAGACTCTTTTAAAAATAAAAATAAATAAAGATATTATCTAATAATAAAAAAAAAAACTATAAATTCTAAAATAGATATTGGTTTCAACATTTGGATACTAAATTAGTTATAATTAAGAAAAGATAATTATTTATTATGTGTTTTCTTTAATTTATTTCATGCTTGTTATTGATTGTGTAAATCTATTTTTGAACTTTTTTTTATGGTATTCATTTTTAAAAGAGAGGTCAAAAAATCATCTTGAAGTTTTAAATTAATCCTTCAAAAAAGAGATTTTGTAAAGTTTTAACTACAATGAAAGAAGGTGATATTAATCACTAAAAATTAAAGATTTCATCAATGTTGAGATTTTAAGGAAAATCTTGACTTTCATAGCTAAAAATAAAAGATTTCATCAAAATAAAAATATTTACAAAAAAAATTGACATTAAATTATAAAAAAATTAGAGATTTCATCAAAATAGAATTTTTAATGAAAAATTTTATACATTAATCTTTAAAAATAGGAGACCTCATCAAAATGGGAGTTTTAATGAAGTTTTTTTATATTAATCTCTAAAAATAACACATTTTATTGAAATAAAGAATTATGATGTCAATCTTTAAAATGAAGATTTCATTGGTTTAGGGTTTTAATATGAGTGTTGGAATTGCAAGGATGATGAAAATTAGGCTTTGAACCATTTTTTCAAATATGAAAATAATTCTACCATTTATTTTATTAGTAGAAAATTACTATTTGAGCATAAATTTTATATATATATATATATAAGCATATCTTCACATAGAATTTACGCACCTAATTATAAATCAACAACTTTGCATCTAATTATAAATCAACAACTTTGCATGTGTAAGAACATTTATAAATAAAATTATTGGCACATAAAATCAAACACACAACATCATCCAAATACACATATCTATCTTTCAATAAAATTATCTTATCCTTCCAAATTCATTGTAGGATATTAATCACTAACCTTATCACATTATTAAAGAACAAATCTCTAGTGGCTTCATTTGTTGCACAAAGAGCACGAGCTCATAACATTTTAAATATTTCATATCTATACACAATCAATCACAAATCATCATAAACAATTAATAATTTCTCCATAATCATGTTTAAAAATATCTAAAATTTTATTTAGAATTTAAAATCCACTTTGAAATTATAGGAATCAACTAGAAATTACTAGAAAAATGAGAGATAATGACGATGGATGCATGTCTGGTATGTATAGTGATGATAATCACTTATTATGCATTGTTACACATTAGAGAGGGGATCGAGACATATTAATAAGCTCATAAAATACACCTTTTTCTCCTCATTTTTTTTTATTAGTGGTTCTATCTCAATCAACCAACCTGAACTTGATAAGCTTAAATATTTATTTATTAACAATATAATGAGGATGATAAGCTTGATGAAAAACCTGATTACTCCTTTCATACTAGATAAGTAAATCACAATTGAGAGTACTAATTAAACATATAGATGTAATAACTCCTTCTTGTGCCTATAGTACATATATATCTACTAAAGAAAAGGTCATTATACATAAAAGGCCAACTCATAAAAGTTCTATTTATGGTAGCTTCTCATATCGAAGCAGAAAAAGGACACTAAAAGAATAAATAACTGCATATCTTGATATACGAGTTATAAAGAATACATACTAAAGAGCTGATGATCTGATAAGCATGAAGTCTATTTATGGTATGTAGATGATCTATAGAAATAAACCATAGGATAAAAAAGTGTCTTAGAATATAACCTTGAAACTAGAAAAGATGATGCATAGAATTTACGAGTCTTGTATCTATAAGAATTTTTTATGTCAAGTCGATAAAAAATCTTTTTAATGGATGAATAGTTTGACAATGCATTCTTAGGATGAAAATGAGCTAAGTCCTAAATAGATTTGGAGCTCCTAATTACTCCAGATAAGAGAAAAGACCAAGTGCCTCCCTGAGTGATGTTTTAGATTTTAGCATCCCATGAAAGCTTAATCAATGTTACCAAATGTTAGCATCACTGTAACGCAAAAGGTCACATAATTGCTGACCATCCGACAACCAATAGTATAACTACAGTAAAGTAGAAATCACATCTTCAAGTCAGGAGACAAATCTTCGGATCTTCCTTTAGAACCAAGTGAAAAATGAAGAAAGTTTGACATGATAGAAAAATCTACTCATAGGTAAGACTCTATGAACTATCCCCACTAAACTAATAATCTCTTCAGAAAATAATAGATACCACCTTTATTGTATCTTTCAAATAAAATATTACATTTATCATGTATTTTTTTATATTTATTCTACCCATGTTATTAATTATAATTTTAAGTTTATAATCATCGGAATGTGACAACTCGATGACTATGTTTTTTTTACTATAATCTTGTAATTGTTTATCTCCTCTCTCACTTTTAGAAATCAGGTAAAAAATAAAATGAATTTTTGAACCAAAACTAAAATTTCAAAACTACTGAGACTGAAAAAATATAAAAAGAAACGTGGATTAAATTTGAGATAGGCCATGAGTTTTTTGATTAATTTACAATAATAATCTTTATGGTTGGAATTTTTTTTTTCATTAACATATGTTTAGAAATCAAACGTAAATTTATTATAGAAAGCTATACTTAAAAAAAAAAAGAGTTAAAGAATAAAATTAGAAAAATAATTATAAAGTAAATTGCTGCAGTGCTTTTCGCGATTTAGCATATTTTGTACCAGCGATCGGATGATTGTGGCCACAATTTAAAGCCAGGTTGCAGGCGTCATGACTTCGAGAGGCTCGTAGACTCTTCAGTAGGATGTGACCACTATAAATATTAATGCACCGGGGGACTCTTAAAAGATTGAATATACTAGGATATTTGGAAAATAATTTGTTGATTTGAAATTCGAAGTGGTATTTACTTTCATAAAAAAAATACATATATTAATTTTTATTCAATTACATAAAACATAACATAAAATTTTAAAATCCCTATTTTACATGAAAATAATTTCAAATATCCTATTTTTCAAAAAATAAAATAAAATTAATGAACCTCTTATAAAATTATTAAGGGTCCGGCTAATGTGCTTTGAAACACATGTTAATAATTAATTAAAATAATAAGAGATTAAGTATCAAATATATAATTTTATCTTTTCGAAACCCACTGGTCAGTATTTAATGGATTACATTAACTATGGGCATTGAGATAGTAAAAAATAAAAGACTATCTATTAAAGTATGGAGAATTAAAGGTGAGACACTTAAAATAATAATAATAATAAAATACTGAATATCAAATATAAAGTTTTCTCAATTATTCCGGTAGTGCTAAATGATATTTACATGGATGCAATATTTTTATTTAAAAATATATTAAAATAATATAATATATTTTTTTAAAATTTATTTTTAACATGAAAATAATTTAAAAATATAAAAAAAAAATTTAATAAATTTTTTTAAATATAATTATTAAACCCAGCCTGATAGCTGGTTCAGTTTAAAGTCCGGGTTCAGGTTTTGATTGAATTATAGAATTGATCAAATTAATTTTTATTTAAAGTCCGGGTTCAGGTTTTGATTGAATCATAGAATTGACCAGGTTAATTTTTATTTTAAAACAAATTTAAAATAGTATTATTTTAATAAAAATATAAAAACAATCAACGAATTATAATAAAGTTTTTAATTAGGTTTTTTCTAGTCAATAAAATTATTGAGTTAACTTA